TTACCTGTTCAAACTGCAACGAAGAGTTGCACAGAAACCAATCCGATATGAGACGATCGACTTTCTAGATTGGTGCTGCTTCAATTGAAAGTGGCAAGATTGCTTGGATTTGCGATGAAATTCTAGTTTTGATAAATAAGGACAAAAGTTTCCTTTGCTGTTTCATAGGTACATCCCTGGATGGGGAAAATTGGTTTGAACACGTTTTTGTTTTACTGAGTCATTTGGCTGCCCAGAGACCCGTGGCAAAGTTGTGAACCACTACCATGGTACTCTTTGAAAATATAATGGAATGAGTTTTTGGTGCTTTTATGCTTCTTGTGACGTTGTATGGCAAACAAGGTCAAATGGTTTTTATCAAGCTTCTGCTTGAAAGTTTGGTTTTCTTGCTTGAAAACCGATTTACCAAGTGGGGTGATGACAGAATCAGAAACTTGCCTTAAAATATGTAAAAAACGTCCTAGAATCGAAAATGTTTAGCGCCTCTGAGGTGGGAGTGGTTTGTTTATCAAATATTGACTATTCCAGTCCGAGGAGAAGTTGTTTTATAATGGCTTAAGGCATCAAAGAGATCAGTAATCACAGTAAACATCTCGTTTTCCTCAGGTTTAATACAACATTACTTATCTGAAGGTAACATCAGAAACTAAACATTGTATCAAGCAACGTGTTGGGATCAAGTAGAAGCAGTTCAACAAGCCAACCTATAAGTCACCCCATGTAAGGTAATTTAAGGTAGTCTGGGATTCTGGATTCCACGTCACGGATTCTGGATTCCAGGTACTCGATTCCAGTCTTTGTCAGTAGAACTTGGATTCTCAATTCCAATTGCTAGTGGGAGTCCGGATTCTTTGAGCTGTTCTCCGGACTCCAAAACCCAGGATTCCAGATTCCACATGCAAATTTTTCCCAGATTCCGGATTCTGTTACATGGGGCCATATAAGGCATGAACCATTAGGAAAGTAGAGGGGCTGGGTTGGATTTTTTTTTTGTTTTTTTTGAGAGGGGGGTGGGGGGGGGGG